AAAATCTAACAATGTAGAAAAGCCAAACAAACATGACAATAAGTGTTACTAAAAATAGGAAATATAATTTACAATTCAGGATCGACTAAAACTTACCTTTTTTCATTTGGTATAAATTGTAGGTCTTGTTATTGTTGATAAACTTATAACAAAGACCAGTGTTGACTTCTAACTGTCAAAAAGGAATCAATAACGGAGCAACAGCCTTGTTACGCGCTTCATTTGAAAATGAAGGTAGCTGGCGTCAAATGAGCTGCTATTGTCTCGGACTATAATTTTGGACGAATAACAATAAATTAAATTTCAACTTTACAATTTCCATTTTGCTTACTTTGTTAGGAAACCGAAAACAAACTGAAGAGCTTTTTTCGTTAGAGATAGTCGTTGAAGAGGGGTGGCTGCTGGTGGAGGTTCAACTGAGTTTGCTGGTAACGCATATGTATTGAAGGCCAGCGCCACTGTTTGCTAGTTTCATCTTAATTTTGTAGCAGTTGAAAATATTATAGTGACTGCGTGTTGACCTCTACCTCGATTAGGATCACAACCTTGTTCGTAGTGGGGTGGCTTGTGTCTTGCAATGACTGATAGAGCTATGTGGGCGGGGGTCTTGTATTCCTGGTAGGGTCAACCATGCCGAACGGGTCGAAGGATAGGAGCCAGACAAAGAGTGATCCCCTGGTCCTCCAGGCTGGGGGTTGGGCTGAGGGTTGATAACCCTCCCCCATAAAAAAAAATTTATAAATAGATTAGAGAAACCAGAAGCAGAGAGAATTTACTGCAACATCAAAGAGACGCTGTGGCCGTATCTCGTAAGAGGAAACCAATGACCCACGGGGACCAAACACAGCAGGACGTCCCCGGGCCACCTAGGCCACTACACCCTAATTACAAACTGAAAGTTGGCAACTGGAATGTTCGAATGCTTTACAGAAGTGGCAACATCGCACAGGCAGCAAGAGAGATGAAGAGGAAATGTATTGACATCGTGGGCATCAGCGAAACTTACTGGACGGGACAAGGAAAAGTGCAACTTGCAGAAGGAGAAACCACAGTTTACTCTGGAAGAGATGTTGACAACCACAGACAGGGAGTAAGTATATTGATGTCAAAAAGTACTGTTTGAGCTCTGATGGAGAACACCCCTATCAGCGAAAGAATAACTCAAGCCAGATACTATTCCAGATATATAAAGCTTACAGTCATTCATGTATACACACCCACAGACAATACAGAGGAACAAGCAAAGGATGAGTTATACACAAGATTGCAAGATGTTATACATGCTGCAGATAATCATGATATGATTATAGTTACTGGAGACATGAATGCTTAGGTTGGACACGAAAACCATAACCATGAAAGAGTGGTGGGAAAACACCGACTGGGCAGAGGGACGAGAATGGAGAAAGACTTTGTGAAATATATGATATGAAAGAGCTAGTTATTACAGGAACCCTGTTCCCGCACAAAACCATCCACAGAGCAACATGGGTGTCGCCTGATGGACAGACCAGGAATCAGATCGACCATGTCATCATGAACAAGCGATTTAGGAATTCAGTGAATAACACAAGAGTCTACGGGTCTGCAGATATTTAAAGTGATCATTATCTTGTGAGTACGACGATCAAACTAAGGTCGAGGAAGGCACCGAAAGAAAAGGTTGAATGTAGAGTGAAGTATAACACGACTAAGTTGGAAAATGAGCAGGTGCTAAAGACATTTAAGAAAACTTACGTAATGGGTATCAGGCCCTAGAGAATGAAGAACCAGAAGTTAAAGAAGAAGTAGAGAGACTTTCGGTGATGAAGAAGGCATACATAGAAGCAGCAGAAACAGTATTGGGCAGGACTATAGGAGAAGGCAGGGGAACAACAGACCAGGTTTTCATTCTGCGAAATATGATCGAGCAGACAAAAGAGTGGCAAGCTGCGCTCTGTTTGAACTTTATGGATTTTGAGAAAGCCTTTGATTCGATCCACAGGGAAAGTTTGTGGGAGATCATGGGGAGGTATTACATTCCGGAGAAAATAGTGAAAATGGTCAAAGTGTTTTACGATGGCTTCAGGTGCGCGGTGGTGGATAAGGGGGGAGATATGTGAAGGGTTCGACATTCGACCCACAACTGAGTAAAGCAAGGGTGAAATATGTCTGGATTCTTGTTC